CTAGATCATATTTATGGTGGCCGGGCTTAGATGCTCATATTGAACAGATTGTCTCCGAGTGTAATGTCTGTCAATCGGTGCGAAATCTTCCTGCAGAAGCGCCCTTGTATCCTTGGTCATGGCCAAGTAGAGTGTGGCAAAGAGTGCATATTGATTTTGCAGAAAAAGATCAACAAATGTATTTGATACTTATTGACGCTTATTCCAAATGGATTGAGGCCGCTCAAATGAATTCCACAACATCTTCAAAAACAATTGATGTATTAAGATCATGGTTCGCTAGAGCAGGAATTCCCGAAATCATAGTATCAGACAATGGCCCTCAGTTCATTTCTTCAGAATTTAAGCGATTTTGCGACATGAACGGTATTCAACATAAACTCGTGGCTCCGTATAAACCAAGCTCAAATGGTGCGGCCGAGCGTTCAGTCCAAATTGTAAAGAAAAGTCTTGTAAAACATGTAATTGAGAACAAAAAAGGTTCTGCAAGTCAAAGATTTTCTAACTTCCTACTCATGTACCGTATCACACCTCATTCCACAATTGGTGTGAGTCCTTCAGAATTATTCATGAAGCGTCAGCTTAGAACTAGATTCTCATTGTTGAAGCCCAGTTTGTCTACATCGGTGGAAGTTAAACAGTCCAAACAATGTCAAAATCATGACAAATCAGGTGTCAAATCTCGCAACTTCAAGTTGGGGGATCATGTCAAAGTTCGTTACTTTCGTGGGGGAAAGGAAAAATGGTTGAATGGCAAGGTAGTAAAGATCTGTGGTCCTAGAAGATATCTAATTCAAATTGGAACTACACAGAGATTTGTTCATGTAGATCACTTGTTGAGTGCTGTTGATCAAAATTTTGGGGACAGTTATCAAGGTCAGGGAAATGTTCCATACATTCCAAGTCCAAAACCAGGTCCAATTATAGATGAGGGATTAGTAACATCTGAACATTGTGACAATACACCTCTAAATCCATTACCAGAAAAGGTTATTGAGTCTCCAATACCAGCACCTGTTGCCCCAAGTCCTGTTAAAACACCAGATAAACCAGTGCAGGTGTCTCCTATTCCTACACCCAGTCCAGCTCCAGTACAGCCCAATGAAAGTCCTAGATATCCAGCCAGGGTAAGAAAACCACCAGAAAGATTAACCTATTAAATGGTTATAGTTAAACTGATGTACTATGAATGAGACTGCTTTGTTGATTCATTAAGTTTGTTTATATCGCATAATTAATGAGACCATTGAGTTAGCTGAAGTGTATTGCTGTATAAACTGTACTCGTAATATATATGACATTATGATTGATTGATGCAGACTGTTATATATCATTCAATCTAAGTTTACTTCAAGTCAACCAGAGAAAGTGTCCTACGAACTCTTTCACTAAAAGGGGAGAGATGTTATGAACATTGAAACTAACATTTATCGATTTATAGATGTCACTAGTAGGACATTGCATAATCTCAAACTAAAATCAGAATGCATGAAAAAGCTTTGGGTTAGAGAGTATACAAGTTTTGAAAAATAAAGAAACCACACCTAAAATATAAACTGAACTTTATTCTGTGGAATATTTGGGATAGAAACTGGTTAAAAACATTAGTCTCCATCCAAGTATTAACATAATATAAGGTAAATATATCTTACTAGATATATTTTAGCAATGTTTTACGCAAATAGAGGTCACGGTTATATTTGCTCTATACGTACGTACGGTAAAATCTATCAAGATGAATAAGCCAATGGAATTTTTAACAACCTAAACGTGAACGGAAAAAATTAAGCGATGCATTTGTATGGGCGATTGGTCATGTGTCTATAGTTTGGTATTTCGATTTATATGCAAGATTAAACTCCCTAATAACAAGCATAGGACCCCCACCCGGAGCCACCGTTACCCATCGCATTCTTACATTACCCCTGCGTCAACCATACGGTGACCGCACGGCTAGCCTTTCCCCTGTTTAATCTACACTGTTACTCAAACGTATTGAT